TGTCCTAGGTAAGAGCAGGCTTTAGGGAAGAAAGGCCTGTAGCGAGTACTGGGAAGAGAAGGGTGAAAGCCAGGAGCCTTTGGCTTCCCCAGTGCACTTCATTGTCTCATCCTCCTCTCTTTTAGCACAGGGCAAATCACTGACTTGAGTCCAGCTCTGCCAATGCCTCAGGGGGTGAGCAGCCAAAGGCAACAGGCTCCTGCCCCACTGGCCGTGCTGGGGGCTCCTGGTCCTGCCAGTCTGGGCTTCCTGGGCACTTCCCATTAAATGATACCAGAACAATAATTTTGTACTGGAAGGGGAAAGGAGCTATGTCTGTGAGAGTTCAGATGTCCATAACAAAACCTTTCTGCTTTCTCAGTCAGTAAGGTCTTCGAATGTCTTGCAGTGTGCAGGAATGTCTGGCTTCTAAAACTCACCAGCTGAGTCCCAGAGGCTTCTTTGGCGAGCTGCTTTCAGGTAGCCAAATGGGCCCCCCAGCAGGGACTCTGTGCCTGCTCTCCCGTGGTTCCCAGGGATCTCTGGGCCTTCACGCCGGCACCGAGGTGTTCTCGGGAAGGCCCTCAGATCCCCGGAGCAGTCTGGGACACGGGCACGATCCCCAATCTGCATTTTGGGAGCAGATTGGGCCCCCTGGAGGGACAGTGCTGTTGGTGCCCCCCGGGCTGGGGCACCCCGAGGACTCGAGCGCGCACCCAAAGGATTCTTCGGGGAGCTCCTCTGGGTGCCCCAAGCTGGGGAGCTCAAAGCAAGGTCCCTGCAATGGATTCAGGCATTCCTGAGAGGATCAGAGGTGTAGCTGTCCGTCCTGGCCATGGAGCTCTGGAATGGACTGTAACTGGGTTATAAAAGTGTGGGATTGGGATTAAGGAATGAGTGGTGATGGTACTGTTGGCTGTTTGTTTTTAAGTGGAATTGTGAGAGCTGCAGGAGTGCAAGGTGTGGGTTCCAGTCCCCAGCATTTGGTTTCCACATGTCCTGGTCAGACACAGGTCCAGCTTCCTCAGTCCTTAACACACCAGAGGGAGAATTAAGGGATGGCACTGTTAAGGTTTGTGGTATGACAGGGGTTTAACTGGGCAAACAATGAGTAATTCCTCACAGTCTCTGTTTGCAAGCTCCCCTAAACCTCTGCTAGGAAGAGATTTCCTAGAAAAGTTGAGGCAGAAATGAAATTAAAAACCGGGGATATTGAGTTTGTACTTCCTGAAACTAAATGTGTGAGCAACAGCAGCTCTTCTTGTGCAGGAAACAACTCCTGTCAGCAGCACCATCCCGACTGAAGTGGCAGATGGAGTTGTTCCTGTGGTGTGGGCCAGTGGAAAACAATTGTGGCATATGAAGGGCCAGGTTGGACACTTGTCAAACAGTAGCACAAGTGACTCTCCAGGTAGCCCAATATAAATATGAGAAGCGAAGTGGTCAAGTAAATCAGTGCATGCTGTGACTGCAGAGGCAGGGATAGGTTGGGATTGCAAAAACTGGGCTGGAGATGCTTGTGATTTAACTGCTTTAGAGCGTGGTTCAGAGGGTGAAGTGTTTGCTGAAGCACAGCCAATAGCAGGAGGGAAAGTGGAAGGTGATCCCGATGGTTATCCCATCAGGCCTGATGTGGTGGAGGATTTTACTCAGCCTGAACTTTCTGGTGTTGTGGAGAGGTTTACAGCAAAGGCCAGAGAGTGTGTGATCTCCTGGGCAGTTGGGCTGCATGACCTGGGAGCCTCTGGGATCAGATTGGACCAGGCAGACAGGGAGCAGTTTGTCCCGTGGAGCTGGGCTGGGTTTGTTCAGGATGCCTTGGGAGGCAGGGCTGGAGAGGCTCCTTTGTTGGCTCGAGTGGTGGAAGGTTGTCCCAGGAGGGCTGGAGCCCTTCGACCTCCCGCTCCCCCCATGAGCCCCGACGGGACCGTGCACTTGGCAATGGAGGGCCCCCCATTGCTGAGTCAGCGGTTCCGGGGGCCGGCAGGGATGGGATCAGGATGCCGAGCTCCAGCCAAGGCAGGGCAGGAAATGGTGCAGCCACTGAAAGAAGTGAAGGCAGAGTGAGATGAAGGCCAAGCTCCAGCACAAGGGTGGGCGAGAAAAGCCCGTGGCCCTCAGGTGGAACTTTGAATTCCTTGGAAAAATGGATCTTGTCAAAGGGCTCAGGCCCTTGTGGTGCTGGAGCAGAGGCCTCTTCAACTGATGGTGACCCTAAAAAGGTGCAAGGACAGCAAGTTTTGATGATAGGATGAGGTGGCAAACAAGGTGAAGTGGTACAGAGAAAAGCTGAGCTTCAAACTGGTCCTCTGCCACAGCAGCCTTGTGGAGTGCTTGTTGCTGTGCCTGACTGTGGAAGGGCAGTGGATATTTCCAAGGGCTGCCTTGTGCTGAGGAACACTGGGTTCAGTCCCCTTTCCCTGGGCAGGGCAGGCAGGGCATGTTTACCTGCCCCCCTCGAGAGTGGCTCCATGAGACTTGACCTGATCACCAAATGCAAACGGTAAATAGAGGGGGTTCATTGGTGACCTTTGGGCATCAGAACAACTCACTGCTCACCTCTGGGGGGACGTATTTACAGCATTCTCACCATCTGACAGGAAGTTTTGGAACGCTTTATTCCATCCACTAATCACAGTAATTACACTGATTTTATGAACAACAGGGAGTTGTTGTCTATGGTATTGACTCCAAGAAGTTGTTTCTCACATGTCTCTGTCCTGACCAGGGATCAAAGGACCAAAGGGAAAGGATGAGGAGTTCCCCGAGAATTGCTGCCCAGGGGCTGCTGCCCCTGAGGAACAGGGTGAAGGCTGTCTGCGCTCAGGTACCCCGGCTGAAGCGTGCGGTTGGCGTGCGTGTTGCTGCAGAAAGGCAGGCCGGGTGTGTGCGGCCGTTCCGTGCCCTCCACCCTCGGCCATGCCGGAGCACCCGGCCAGCGCTCTAGGGGTGGCCAACTTGGAGCTCCCGAGAAGCTGCCCGTGCCTACGGCCGGACAGTGCCAGGCCTGGCCTAAAGCCGGCTTTGTCGGTCAGAGTCTGGCCAGCGGGAGCCTCTTGGAGCCACCCCGCAGCCTCCCCTGTGGATGGACGCACCCGTAGGAATCGCGGCAGTTCCCCGAGACTGCGGGACCGGCTGCACCGGGGCTGCCCAGCTGCCCTGTGGGCTGGGGGTGGAGCGTGAGGGGGCCGTGGGGGAGGGATTTCTGCTTAGCCACAGTTCTGTCCCTCGGGGAAGTCAGGATTTGATGCCTTGCTCATTTTCTTTTGTATTCCATAAATCTGTATCTGATGTGTTGGATTGGGTATGTTTAAACCGTTCCTATTATTCTGTGACTAGTGAGGAGTTGTTTCCTTGAGTGCCCTGCCTGTTGGCAAAACATCAGGTGTGTGCAGCAGCTGGAGCCTGGGCAGGTTTGGGGGCTGTGGTGTCCCAGCTCCCACTGCCATCCCTGCTGCAGGGTGGGAGCTGCACAGAGCCAGCAGCGTCCAGCTGGAGGAGCCAGGAGGATGCAGCTCTGCTTTTCTGGGAGGTGCTGGAGCTGGAAGGGATGTTTTCCAGGCAGAGGGAGGGAGGGAGCAGGGAGAAGTGCAGCTCCCAGCAGCTGGGTCAGTGCTGGCTGGACTCGGGGCTGGGAAAGGTCCCTCAGTGTGAGGGCAGGTGAGAG